CGAGCACATAATTACAGCGAAATTGTCCAGGAACTTTTGGTGGTGTGGTGTATTTAATTATGGCAAAGCACACTAGGGCTATCTGCCTAAGGGAAGGGATGCCTCGTGGAGGACTTTCTAAGGGAAACTGGCTCGTATACACGTTACACATGGGGAAAACCACGAAAACGCCCATGCAGCCAGCCCGTTCGCGGGATTCGAACATCGAACCGAAATACCAGTGTTCAGCGACTTTACCGCTCGGCCGCTGGTGGGCCCCAGGAACTTTTGGAGAGCCTCAAAATGACTGCTTGCAACATGAGAATCAAAATGCATTTTTAAGTATTGATCCCGAAAGTGAGTGTTTCCACCAAGATTTGAAGATTATGGAGGCACTGTACCAAAGTAGATGGGATGCAAATATGATCGCTGATTATTGTTGGCGTATCAAGCAAGAAGTCTACAGATTACAGATTAAACACTCAAAAAAAAAAAAAAAAAAAAAAAAAAAAAAAAAAAAGACCATAAGTGAAAATTTTTATCTTAAAATACATGTTTGCCGTTTGGTAAAAATCTTTACTATTTTCAAAATTTAACTTTCAGTAACTAAAAACTATTCTTTGTGAACAGTGTATATGGTAAGTTTTCCCTTTATTCTCCTTTATATGTATATTTTGCACGACTTTTGAGACATGAAAAGGGTATCCTGGACACAAAGAGAGGGTATTCTGTAGCTTAAAATATTGACGTAATAGACAAAAACTGAGGTTGTTTTTGGATTCAGCGGCCAAAAGATAGACAAAAACAAGCGAAAAATCAAAGAAAACGAATTTGCTGTTCCTCAGGGTAATTGGCACTTCGCTGGTCAGTTTTCAGTATGAAGCAACACTGTTATGCCCTTATACTATTACGCAAACTTTTCGTTACTTTGTGATACTCTGGCATAACACTACCAACACCCTTCTGTGAGGGTGCTGTTACGAAGCTAAAAACTTGGCCGACTCTGATATGTGCATAACAATACTGATGATTTTGTGACGGGGCACAGTTACGTAGCGTTACCCTCCAACTTCTTGGTTCAGATTACGAATATACTAACATTTTGTTTTCAACAACAAAGTTTAACTTTATGGCTACGATGTAAAAACAGGACCCGTAGTCAATTTTGGGGTTTGTATCTAAAAAGCTACGTACGATAGCAAGAAGCAATGCACCGTATGACGCACTCTATAGTTCTAATCACATTATGCTTCGGCTACGCGGGACTGGATGTCGAAAGGAACAATTCTCAGAACCCGCACATTTCCAGTAAACCCACGTAACTAGGTTACCCTTTTCACTTACTACAAAGACTTGAACGCCAAACAGTAATTGATTATCGCTCAGATTGGGATCACGTGATCCTTCAGAAGCAGAACTTTCATCTGATTGGTTGATCTCTACCCAGGACAGAGGTTCAGACGAAACATTTTCGATGAGGTTTGAAAAAATACTCGTAACCGCAGCATCGTTTCCGTAGCTAGGCGGGACTTCGCTTCCAGCGGGGCTCTTTTTTCTAGGAATCCTTCCTTTTAAACCAGTGCTACCAAAATCTCATTTTTCAGAAAAGACCTGTCTAGCAGGGACTATCGTTAGAAGTGATAATCTCTTAAATAGATCGTACTGAATAATTAAAAAAAAATTACATTTTGAAAATTATGGTTACATACGAAATTTAGTTTATCCGAGAAAATGCTAAAATCTTTTCAACGGTTCAAAAATAAGATGTATACACTTTTTAGCTTTTGTCATAAATTTTGTTGTTTCTTATAAAATGGTTCTTCTTATCACATTTTATGAACTGGAAAGTACCTGTGAGTCTCAAAGTTAGTCAAATGAATGTTTATCGGCAGTTTACAAAATCATAAATGAATTGGTAATATTTTGTTGGAATGAGGATAATCGGTTAAGTACCATTCTTTTTTATAATCATCGAAAACATTTTATAATAAAGAAAGCTGGAATATTATTCTTTTTATTTTCCCATTTTTATCCAAGTGCTGATTTCAGTTTTTTCAAGACATTACAAAACGCAGTTTTTTATCCATAAGGAATGATTCGGAATCTTTATTTTAGTAATTTTGCAACCAAAGAAACATATAAATAAATTCCTACATTCACTGACACAAAACTCGCTTCTTTTCCCCAACAAATTTAGCTTAACAATATATTTATTCCTTTACTTTAAAGCTTTGCGTTGTTGTTACCATGACAACTTACACAGCAGCAAAAACTTATCTACTCGTGCGAAAAGTATACGTGGAATGCTTTCTCAATTACTTCGCGCTAATTAAGAAATGCAGTAGGAATGGTGCGAATTTTTACAACTGTTTATCTGGCCTTATATTACTCATGTTTTTTAGATTAGATGGTTTATGAAAATTAAACCCAGGTACAAATACAACTAAGTCGTTGTGATTTTCCATGCCTTTAAAATAACAGTTTCTTTTACATATTTGGCTGTAATTACATTGAGTTCCTGTTCACCACTTTTTTTTAAAACTAATAGGTGTAATATTCAACAAATGTGCTCCCCGACGTAAAAGTAGTTAGTGACTCTGACTGTCATACCGAAGCGCCCGGGTTTAGATTCCGGAGAAGCACTGATATAATTTGTCTGTCCCTCATAGGAGGCAACAGTGGCCTACCTATTAGGTGCTTCCATAACAAAGTGACCACCGCTTTTGGCCTTAGTAGTAGCCAATGACTATAGAAGGTTAAGACCGGGCATTGGAGGAAAAATCAATAAAAGACCTTAATTTATAATGATTTAACAAAGTTGGAAATAAAAGACGGTACTTACGTATTAACGCAACCAGGCCAAAATTCGCATAAATTGCGAAATTTGGCAACCCTACGTGTTATACATAGTTTTGTAAAAAGAGCATGTGGAGATTCACAAAATTTTCCTGCATTTTCGTGCAAATTTTTGTAATTTATGAGAAAATAGCAGTGTATATGGATAAAGTCAAAAGTGTGCGCAATGCCATTTTTGTGCAATTCTGGGATGTTTTTTTAAGTAAAAATAAGTCGACGTGTACATGGTTATGGCGAATACGGTTTTCAATCAGTGCTAAAAACAATAGCCAAAAAAGATTTCCGCCGAAAAAATAATTCTGCAACTTGTTCAAATTCGAAACCGAAGGGTTTAATTGCTATTTTTATATTTTAAAACAAAATAATATAAAAAACTGTATTAAAAATTACCTGTAATTAATAAATGTACATTTTCTTTCTATTCATACTTTTTTGCTCAAACTTACAAATAACGCCAACCTGGTTGCGATAATACGTAAGTTCCTAAAAGACCTTAATTTATAATGATTTAACAAAGTTGAAAGTTGAATTTATACAAAGTCGTAGAAATTTAACAACTGCCAGCGTGATATTTAAATTTATTGGTGCTTGAATTTTAAGAATTTATTTGCAAGTAAAGCTAGAATTAGAAATCTGAATTACTTTTTTGGGAGATTATAATAGTTATTTATTGGTTTTTTCTCTGTCAGAAGCTACAGCCAAGAAATAAATCTGCGCCGAGGTGGTTGCACTAATATGTAAGCATTTTTTTGTATTTTGAAAGCTGGAATTACTAATCTGCATATGCAGATTTCGATTAATGCCCATAAAATAATTTTAAATTCAAGAATTGTGATTAGCTTAGTAGTTTAAGCATTAATTCTCCAGGAATTCAAGTTTGTTATTAAATTTGGCAAAGCACACGAAGGCTATCTGCCTAAGGGAAGAGATGCCTCCATGGAAAGCTTTCTAGGGTAACTAGCTCGTATTTAGTCACACACTGAGAAAAACTACGAAAATTAATCGTGCAACCATGCGCGTTCGTCTGCCATATAACCCAGTTCACGAATTCAATATGTGGAAAATGAAAATCATTCAAAAGGACTTATGAAAAATAGAAGTGCCAGATCGTTGGAAACGATATTTATTATGAAATTATTCATCACAAATTAATATCACATGAAGATTCGAGCAATCATTTAATTTTAAAAAAGAATTATTCAAGACGTAGCTGTGTCATTTTTTTCATTGGATTGTTCGCTTACAGAACTTACCACAAATATTTCTCTCAAGTGGCAACACATTCTATATTTCAAAAATAAGAAATCCGTGAGGCGAACTGTAATCAATAAACTCCGCTAACAGGTTTCCTTGGAGATGTTTCTAAAATAACTCAATATCTATTAAAATAAAAAGATATAAATAACTTTTATTGCTACTTACGTATTACTCCGTCGACTACTAGTCGAAATTTCGACAACGATCGCCAATCGTTACTGTGGAATTCTAAAAGGCACACTTTTCCGTAACTGGCGCTAAATCGCGCTACTTGGCCGGTCATGAAATATATCTGCGTAGATGTATTGTCACAGAATTACGTCATATATCTGAGTAGATATATTTCTTGCGATCAGGAATAATATGTAAGTACCCTTTTATTGTTACATTCCACAATAAGAATAGAGATATTTAAGGTCACAACCTTACTTATATTAAAAAAGAATTATGATTCTTTAAAGTTTTTAATTAATTATTTCTTTAAGAGTTCGGAATGGAAAGTTAAGATTTTATAAAATGAACTATAAAGTTCTGAATTTTAAAGCCAGTTCTATCCTTTCTTTGTTAAAAGCATTTTAATTAAATCATTAATAATGATTTCTACAGGAAAACAAGATAAAATTCAAGATTTGAAAAGTTTTTGTTGTCACAGAATCACATCATTAATTTTATCTTTTTTTCCTGTGAATTCATAATTAAAGATTTATTAAGAATACATTTTCCTGTGAAATTCATACTTCCTTGTTTTCTTAATTAAATATTTATTAAGAATTCGTAATTAAAGAATTTTGTTGTCGTATAATCAATTTGGTTATATCCAAATTATTTTATTACACTTCATGATTTAAAATTTACAATGATTCGTAAAATAATTATTATAAAAAAATCTAGATTAGTATATGTCTTACCTCCACTGTCCAGAAAGTCTTGATATTTTTGCGTGAAGTTGATCATTGTACTTGGAGACTTAACTTGTGCGTTTATTTAATCTGTCAAAGAAAGATAAACATAATAAGTATCACAGTTTTTAACCTAATTTCTTTGCTACCACACACACACATATATATATATATAACAGTTAACAAGCAAGCTGATTATACAATTAGTATGAAGGTCTTTTCTATTAGCTCTGTTAAATAGTTAACAGTAAAAAGGGAAAGAAAAAAAATTGCCATAAATAGATACAAATGGATGGCTGTCTATGAAGAAAATTTATGATAATTATAAGGATTGAACTATTCTCCTGTCAATCTTGACTACTATTTTCTTTAGAGTTTTTTATTGTAATGAAGTATGTGGCCAATACAATCAAACCAGCTTTTGGCGAAACCTGTCAAGCGAAACCATTATAAAAAAACAAAGCCTTCATTTTCTGTTGATAATTATTTCGACTTTGTTGTTGTACAGAGAGTGAAAAGCATAGAGCATGGTTCTTAGATGATTTTGGTCAGGCTTGATCTTTTTCATGTTACAAAACAGGAACACTTTAACAAGAAAAACGGTACTTTCTGATTATTCTCATTTCTATAGTTCCAACTTTCTGAACAGAACAACTGCCATATTTTTGGCGTATTTTAGAGTATATACGCGATGACAGCCAACTCACGCATTGGCGTAGCAAATATGCATTTGAGTACAGGTGAATTTACACGCTTTATATTTTATCACTTCCCTAATCAGGGTCCTCTCCCTGAACTGTATTCTGAACATTATCCTTTAGTTGTAAAAATGTAAGTATCGGCCACGTAGATTATTTTTTTCCTTTTTATTGCCATTTATAAACATCTACCTATTAGCTGTAAAGATACACAAATAAATTTTTTTCACCAATTCACAAAGTTATGAATCATCTATCGACTTCTTGTGTGGTGCGAATAATAATAAAATGCTGTAATTTTGTTTTAAATCGCAAGAAATCAAAGATGGAAATACAGGTATTGCACTTCGTATACAACAGTCTGTTAACCCTTCGCACTCAGGTTTTCCTTGGTTAAACCTTAGAGCGAATTCGAAACTTTTTGGTTTCTTCATTGCTATTTTTGGTTTGGTTTATGAGATTATGGAAAAGCCTCGAGGGCTATCAGCCTTAGAGAAGGGATGCCGTAGTGGAGATTTTCCTAAGCGAATCTAACTTCGTATATACGTTACAGTCCGTCCGCGGGATTCGAACCTCGGACGGAACTACCAGTGTTTAGCTGCTTTACTGCTCGGCCGCTGGTGAGCCTTATTGCAATGTAATATATGATTTATCTGAAAGGAAATTTGTGAATAATATTGCAAAGAAAGCGTTCTTTTAAATTTTTTATTATATTATATGAGCTTGTTAGCAAAAGGAATTATAACTAGAAACTACTTGTAGTTTTCCTGGGTAAGGTAACTTTTAAAAGCAGTTACCAAATTGTAAGCCTGATTGAAATGACAGAAACAAATTCATCATCCCCATTCCCTTGAACAATTTTTTCAACTGAACTTTTTGCCGTCCTGAATACTGTACTATTTTAAAAAGTCGTATGATCTATTATTATCCTTTATTTATTATTATTGTGGAAGTGACTTCATCTTCTGATCATCGCTTTTACAAAGATATACGTTACATACTTTTGTCAGCATTTTTTAAAATACTAAGGATACTATTTTCAATCATCATAAACTTTCGCTAGTCTGTACTCGAAGGAAGTTAATTGTAGTAACGTAACAACTACATTGCAATAAATAAACCTTGGCTTTATTTTACATATTCCCTTCAGTTGGTTAACTTTCAACACAGGGTGAAGTGGTTTTACCGAATTATGATTGGAATTTTAATTGTGATTTGGAGCAAATGAATATATATGCAATCATAACACTAATAAAACAGATAATTGATACATGAAATGGTGCGATTGCTCATATTTCTTCTACAAAAGGAACTTACAAAAATTGGAAATAAAATTTAAGTTACAAATTTTTAAAAATAGAAAAAATAATAACATTATATCATAAAGCTTCAAATGCACTTTATTTATTACACAATCAGTCAGATCTCTTAATTAAAGCTACTTTCTGTCATATTATGCAACTAAATTAATCTGCATTGGAATCATCCTCAGATTTAACTCGTTGAATAATTTCAACGAGGTCACTGGATAGGTACTTTTAACGCTTTAACTGCATATTGCGAACCAGTGCGCTTTTCATAACATGGAAAGTTTAATCAAAGAGAATCGCCCACGATGGTCGAGTAGGTAAGACCGCCAAGAACTGACAGTTTTGCTAATTTAGTTTTATTTAGTTGATTACAACAAATCACTCCATCGAGGGCTATTTGCCTAAAGAAACAGGTATCTTCGTGACGAACTTTCGAAGGGAGACTGGCTCGTACCCACATTACGCATTGGAAAAACCACTAAAACTTTCATGTAGCCAGTTCATTTTTCTGAAATCGAAATCTTGTCAAACTGCAAAGGCATTTTGGTGGTTTTGGGCATAGTATGTAATGCGTTAGAAAGTTCTCTGCGAAAAGTACCAATCGCTTTATTTAAGTGGCCAGGATGTGCTTTGTCACAATAGATCAAACAACAAATGCAAATATCAGTTTGAACCTTATTAAAATACGATCGGATATTTTGAAAGGCCACCCAAATTATTTAGAATATTAAATTTGTTTCAACAAATGGCAACCACACTAACTATTAGATAATGGGTATTTTTCATTCACTTTGCTGATAACTTAAATTCTGGCATTGCAATATTTTTATTGCATCTTCTGTACCCCCCAAATGACCAATTCACCTAACCCTTGTATGATAATGCAACTTAATTCTTCAATAAACGTTGCATTGTGGAGAACAAAGGGCATATACCTGCTTATCTCTGGTAGACACCAGGAGCCCCATCTTCCGAAATGTTGATAATTTGATGTATTTACATTTGGATACTAAAACTAATGTATACTTATCAGTATTAACCGACTTTTCTTTACTTATAGAATTGAAGTTATTTTTGTTTGTTAAAAACAGGACAAAACACGCTAGCGTTATTTAACAAAGGCAAACGATGCTTTCATAGAGGATTTCTTAACAGTAACTGTTTTGCAGTTTTGGCCGATATCAGAAAAACCATGAAAATGACCATGCAGCCATTCCTTACGCCGTGATTTGAATCCGAGTGAAACTACCAGTGTTTAGCGGTCTTATCAAGTCGACCAATGTTTGGCTGGGGAGCTGAAAAAGACATCGGTACAGAAAAACCTGCAGTTTAGCTAAGATGTAAGCAAAGTAGAACCAACGAAGGATCTTTAATAATTCTGTTTCAAGATCGTTGTAAGTGCAAGTTTACAAATGAAATAATAAAAAATTTCACAGTTTGCTCTTCAAGTATTCAGACTGCTTCTAAAATATTTATTCAATGTTATTGTCTAAAACCATTAAACGGTAAATTAAGTCCAATATTCCCATTTACGATTTTAATGCTTTAAAATATTTTTTCTCACATTATTATTTACTACGCTTTTATTTCCTGTACCTGATATATTAGTTTTCTTTCATATTTATTAGTTTGTGTTTCTTATTTAGGGTTTATTGTGAATACCAATTCAGAGAAATTGTATTTATGTCTCTTTTTCAAAGTGTGTAAGATACTTTACTTATACATACATAATAGCCGAGTTATTGAATTCAGGAAATGTTTACTCTGCTTACTAAATAGTAGTTGGTTTAGCTTATTATAATAAAGCAAGCTAGGGCTATTTGCCTAAGCGGAGGGATGCTTTCGTGGATGGCTTTCTAAGAGAAATTGGATCATACACGCGTTTACACATGGGGGAAAATTCCGAAACCACCCATGCAGCCAGCCCGTTTGCTTGGAATCAAACCCAGGGCGGAACTACCAGTGTTTAGCGATTTTACCGCTCGACCGCTGGCGAGCCGCTTACTAAATAGTAACTTGATGCATTAAATATTTTATATGTTCTGTAAACTGCTGTGCTATATGTTCTAATGTATGTATTATAATGTTCTATAAAAGATAAGAATTTTCTTGGGGTCTTCCATTTCTATTTATTCAATGACTAATGTGTTAGCAAGAATTATATTTCCAAAATTTTTGAAAAAATATATTTTAAAAATAATTTCATGTTATTCTTATAGTTTTATAGAAAATAATACCCTATTTAAAACATTATGAAATGCATGGTAGTTTCTATTAAAACAAAATAAATTATATTGTTATAAATGTGAATAATTTTTTTTTTCTTGAGACTAATACAATGATAAAATTTTATTCGAAAAGGTTTTTTTTTTCTTTATTTGTAGATTTCATGCTAATGAATCGGATGCCTAAGCATTAGCGCTAACACCTTGGCTCAATTGGGGGAACTTTATCGAAGAAAAACATTGATGACTTATAAGGCAAATCACTATTAATTACACATAAAGTTATTATTACAGATATATTTTACGTTTTAACTAGATATTTATCCTCCTTGCCCCCAAACAAAATCAAAAAATGTACTTACAAGTGGCCTTTTTTTTCTTTTGTTTTGGCGGGAGTTTAATAAAAATTGCTTTAAGAAGAGTGTGAAAGCAATTGTCTCTTTTACAAATTTTGCGGCATAACACTATATTTCTGCAGAAATTTTACCTCACTTTTCTCTAGTGTGCAGGCAAAATCCACAAGCAGATGTTTACAATTATTTTTAAGACAAAAGATATCACGATTTGTCTATAAAAACCGTTGGAATTTGGAATGCAACAAAAAAGAACGTATACGAAATTGGCGACATTAAACTGAAGAGCTTGGCTATCTGAAGAGTTGTTACGCCACGTGATTATCAGAGATTGGCCCCCCGCATTCTTGCATTTTAATAATTTCTGCTAAGGTGGTTGCGATAATACTTAAGTAGCATGAATTGGTTTTACAGAAAAGTTTAACAAAAATAGTTGTGAAGATTAAATTAAATTAATACACAAAATAATATTCATACTTATACTATAGCTTAGATTTAGAAGCA